TCCTGTTCTCACTTTTCTGCTTTCAAATCCGTCTGAAAGTTAATTAATTTATTTTTTAGGTACATTACCATCAAAAATAGATGCCTACCTCATTTCCATCCCCACCTCACTTCAGCTGATGCAAAGTGTGCACGATGACTCACTCTTTCTGGAAGCGGAGACAAAGTGAAATTGTAGTTTTGAGAATAAACTTCAGCAATAAAATAACATCTGATTATAAACTACAGGCACCACTACAGAGCTTTTATAACTTTCAGAAGCAGCTGATTTGTATTTTTGTTTTAGTCTCCACTCAAGTAACTCTGGCCACTGGTTCGAACAATGTAACTATGTTTTATTTTTTCATGTGTACAGTGATTGTTAAGCATATTGATGCACATTAAATGGAAATTTACTTTAAATTGAATAATTATTTGTACGTGCAAATAAGTATAGTCTACAAAGACCAAATACTTGTTCAATACTTCTTTAAAAAGTCTTCAGTTAATCCAAAATGCTGTGCCAGAGTCTTAGCTGGAGTTAGTGGGAGAGATCATATCGCTCCAGTTTTAGCTTCTCTCCACTGGCTCCCTGTCAAGTCCAGAATAGAAGTCAAAATCTTACCTACAAAGCTCTCAACAACCTAGCTCCATCTTATATTTGAGATCTTATTGTTCCATAATTTCCTAACAAAGCACTTTGCTCTCAGACTGCAGGTTTACTCGTGGTCCCTAGAGTTTCAAAAAGCAGAATGGGAGGAAGATCTTTCAGTTAGGGATGCACAATATTGGCACGGTATCGATATCGGTTGATATTAGTAAAGTTAAATATCGGACATTCCGTCAAAATAACTCACCGATATAAAAGGCGCTGTTTTTGTATTAGAGTCCAGTGACAAGGATGCCTGCAGCGCCAGCACAACGTGATGACGTCACGCACGCCTACCTGATCTGATCACAGCCGAGAAGAATTCTAAATGCATTACGCACTACTACTTATGTGCTTTGCACTTGTCGCTTGTGAACAGGTCGAGTTTAGATTTGTGAAAATTTACAAATTTGCACTTTTCGAGTGTTGTCATTTTGTTGGAGAGAGTAAACATCTTGAATAAATTTGACTTTAAACATAATCCAAGTTGAAGTGTTACATCATTTTCAGCCCCCTTTTTGGCATCTGTATATCACATCAATATCGATATCGGTCGTCGGCCAAATAAGTTTTAACATATCGGCGTATTGGCCAAAAATCCAATATTGTGCATCCCTACTTTCAGTTATCAGGCTCCTCTCTTGTGGAACCAACTTCCAGTTTCTGTCCGTGAGTCTGACACATTGTCCACTTTTAAGACTGGGCCTAACACTTTCCTTTTTGATAAATCCTATAGTTAGGGTTGGCTTGTTATGCTGCTATAGACTTAGACTATGTAGGACAAGTTGACCTCATTTCCTTAAATGAATTGTTAAAACTGACTAGTTTTCATTTGATACTATTTCTATCTTAACATGTGATTCTTGACCTGCCATTGTGTATCTGTTCCTCTCAAACCCAGCCGGTCGAAGCAGACGGAGCTTGTCCTGAGCCTGGTTCTGCTAAAGGTTTCTTCCTCACGAGGGAGTTTTTCCTTTCCACTGTCGCCTTCATGCTTGCTCAACATGAGAGTTCTGTGATGGAGTTAAACTTAAAGCAGTCTGCTCCTCAGATAAATAATGTTAAATTATTATTTTTATATATAAATGTTTCTGTTCAGTGTCCTGAGACGACTTCTGTTGTGACTTGGCGCTTTATAAATAAACTGAATTGAATTTAAATTTGCTGATATTTGCTCATATAAGACCTGCCAAAGGGCTTTTCCATTAACTCAGAGTAATCAATTTAAGAAGTAAAAGCAAATGGAGAAAAAAAATATTTAATGTATTTTATTTTATGGCCTTTAAAGAGCTGTGAGAATTGTTTTGGCTAATAAAGCAGCTATTGATAGAAATAAGAAAAAGGACCTGGGACAGTTTCCGGGTGTTCTCGGATTAATTTGTCGAACTACCTGGACAATGCTGACATCGCTAATTCTGACAAATTGTGAAAGAAAATATATGAAGATGTGATTTTCTTTTTCGTATTTAAGATGTGTAGATGTTCAAATAACAAAAAGTTGATGGTGCATGTAATATAATTTTAAATTGACATATATTTGTTGCGATTAAATTAGTCTCAATTACGCCCATGAGCCTTGTTAATAAACCTAACACTGCAGCTAAATAGCAAGTGGACTTTTTTCCTGAAATAGTTAATTGTTTGCCAAAATGTTTTTTGTTTTTGTTTTTTCCCCAGAATTCCCCACGTTTTTCTCCAGAATTTCTCATTTTGTTCTGATTGGGCAGATCGTTTTGCAGAAAAGCCACCACAAAGTGTCATAAGGTCATCTGTCATTCACGACTGCTGCTTGATCTCTCATTGATCCTGACGGCTTTATGAAAAACCTGGGCAGCAATGATATGATGTTGAAGCTCATCCTCTGTGTCGAGCTGTGAATCCTGCAACAATTTCTGTCATCCAACGTTCTAGTTCCAACGCAGAGGAAGCGCAGACGAGGCTAGCATCACGTGCACTAGATGTTTAATTTTTAACTTCTTTTCTCATTCTTCACAGCAACAAAATGTTTAAACGTGTATTTTAAGCTGTACAGAACGAGTGACAGTTATTATTTTAGTTAATGAAAGCATGTTTAGTTTTTACACGTCCATCTTTCAGATTAATTTCCTCGTCAGTCTTTAGTCATGCCCTCCTACAAAGACTACAGATAACAAAGGCAGCGTAATTTCCACTGACAGACCATATCACGATGAATAAAGGGGATTACTCGGGGCCATTTCTGGACTCGTGTTATCAGCAGATGCCACTGACAGAATGAAATGTGATCCCTCCACTAATGACATGTTTTCCACCATTTGCCATTGTAGCAAATGTAGGAATAACATATCAGGGAGTGTTCAACAGGAGCGCACAGTAATTTTAGCACGGCCCCACATGGTGAGTTTATCTCAGGACGCAGTTAGGAAAAAATATTCTTATTGACGATAATCTCAAACCCATAGAAACTATTTAGTTGTTCCTCAGAGATGAACAAATGAGGGAAGTGAGTGGAAGCAAACGAGCAGCAGGCAGGGACGGCAGCGGTTAGCGATGTCGTCTGTCAACAGAAAGACAGCAACCAGGCTTTGTGCGTATTAATTGTTCTTGTATTTCTTCCTCCTCTCTCCCCCTCCTGCACTCCTCCACATCTTCTCCGCCTCTCCCAGCTCAACCTCTAAGACTGTAATCACTGGGCTTACACTTCACTGTCACTTCTGCGCCAGTGTAAATGTGTGCGCTTGTGATTTTCCAGGGCTATTTGTATCCCTGCATGTTCTGTACCTGGTAACAGTATATAAACTGTATGTGTGGAATGTAAGCCACGTGTTGTTGAGCGTTTAGATACTCATGTTAGAATACTCTTTGCTTTCTAGGCTCATAGATATGTGGTACCACCACTTTGCTTTAGTCTCCGTTTGTGTATCGTGTGAACTAGAACTTTGATTACATATAGATTTGGGTGTAAACAGACTTTTGAGCATTAGTTCTGCCATGAATCAAACAGAGCATCGCCCCCTGAGATGATATTATATCAAACCCTGATTGGTTTAAAATAGCACAGGCTGGGGGGGCAACAACAACAAGAAGGAGGCGGTTCCTGAAAGGTTATTTAAATTTAAAAAACAAAAGCACGCAGGTAAAACAGTACCGACACTGGACGAGCATCAACTCAAGCGTGTCCTCTCTGGTCTCGCAAAACAATATTCTGATACAAAAAACATATTTTATACCCTCGAAGCTCATCGGTAATCACACCACATGCCATCCAGTACTTTGAGATATTTTGCTAACAAACAGACTGGATTGAGTTCAAAAGTTGATGCTAAAGTTTTAAGCAAATATCTCACCCATTGAGTAGCATTTGGAGGATGTGTTGTAATTAATTTACAACAAATTTTCATCACAAAACCGGTTAAACTGAGTAAATTGTATTTATTGTGTTTTCTAAGGTCATGGCAGTGACAGCCATCTTGATTTGAGTTTAATCTAAAACAGTGTGGTTCTCAACCCTGGTCCTTGAGGAACGCCATCCTGCATGGTTTAGTTGCCTCTCTGTTCCAACCTGATTTGAATGAACAGGTGATTAACAGGCTTCTGCAGAACTTGAGGAAGTAATTAAATCACTGACTCAGGTGTGGAGCAGAGAAACAACTAAAACATGCAGGATGGTGTTCCTCAGGGACCATGGTTGGGAACCACTGATCTAAAACAAACACTTGTAGGGATGTAGAGGTACATTCAGTGCCTTTTTTTTTATATTCCTGGAAGTTTGATGAAAGCCTGTCCTTTGGTTCATGAGATATTTTGCTAACAAACAATTAAAGCTGATTCTAAATGAGCTCTAATGGATTTTCTTGTTAGAGCTCAGAGTATGTACTGGTGACCAGTCTGAGCTACAACCACACCAGATATTAGCACTATTTCTGTAAAGTGGACTGGCCTTTTTTCACGTTGTTGATTATAAAAGTTCCTCAGATTTCCAATAAACCGTTTTATTTTCCTGTTTTATGGAGTCATTGGATAGTTTTGGTTTTATTTCAGTAGTTTAGTTTCAGTAGTTTAGTTTCAGTAGTTTAGTTTCAGTAGTTTAGTTTCAGTAGTTTAGTTTCAGTAGTTGTGTTTCAGCGTGTGTGGACAGAGCAACACATCTCATCACACATTGTAAATACTCACAGCTACACTTGCTGTACTTTATTTCTCAGGGTATATTTTCCTTACTTCATCCTTTTTATCACTCTTTCTACAACTGTAAGTTTTCTAATTGTGTAGGCTCCTTTTAACACGTTACACTAAACAAATGAGCTGCAACATATTCCAGTCATATTTATTATTTAGGTCATCTTTTTACAATCCACTTAAAGTTTTTATTTACCCTACTGTTTGCTGTTTTCCAGATCACCAGAAGCTGGAGCGAGAGGCTCGAATTTGTCGCCTTTTGAAACACCCCAACATCGGTAAGAAGTCTCTCCATTTTGCTTCACTTAACGCTACGTGATGTGTTAAACAAGTTTACTCTTTTTTTTTAAATTTTATTTATTATTCTTTTAAGCAAAGTAAAGACAAGTCTTGCCTTTTTAACATACAACCAGTTTCCATGTAACTTAAATCTTTTTTTCAGCTGTTTTATTTTTAATTACAAAAACAATTTATATAAAATACAACCTATTTAATAATAGGTATCTAAAAGTATTTGTGGGATTTTATGGCTGTAATGCACAGCCCTTTGTACTTTGTTGCCAGAACTTGCAATTATATTATAAATATATGATGTAAGATTTCATTATTATGACTCCCCGTTGCTTTTCCTCTCACGCTGCTTTCTTTTCTCTTAATCTCCTGCTTAAAATGCAGCAGTGATAACCAGCGGTATTCAGAGGCAGTTTGAAAAGCATGCAGCCATCTTTACCAGGGCACATAATTAATAATAAAACACAATAAAATAAAGATGAAGGCAGCTGAACATTTATCCCTCAATCTCTCCATCTTTCTCTTCCAGTCCGTCTTCACGACAGTATATCAGAGGAGGGCTTCCACTACCTCCTGTTCGACTTGTAAGTCATCCTTCTCCTCCCCTCTCCTCCTTTTTTTCAAACACGCTCTTCATCTGCCTCTCTTCTTCCTCCTCCTCCTCTCCCTTGATTCCCATGCTCTCTGTATATTTACCATTACATAACTCCCTCCTATATTTACCCCATCGCTGTCACCGTCGCCACCCACACCCTCCTCATCCACCTCCCAGCAGTTCCCTTTAGTTTCCATGGTAACGGTGTGGGATGGGGGAGTGTTAGGGATGTTTGGGGGAAGATGGGGAGCCATAAAAAAAGGATGAAGGAATTTAAAATTCTTTCGTTCTTTCTTCTTTTTTTTTTTTAATAGTTTTTGAAGTTTTTATTTCACCACACTTTCTAATACAGACTTTTCAGTTTTAATAAATGTGTGTGTGTGTGTGTGTGTGTGTGTAGGGTTACAGGAGGTGAACTGTTCGAGGACATCGTAGCCAGAGAGTATTACAGCGAGGCCGATGCCAGGTAGGAGCACTTCACCTTTGTACGTGTGACTGGGCCTCCCTATGCCTGTCAGTGGTCTGTGTCTTTTGTTGTCTGCTTTTATTTGTTGTCTTTTTTACTTTTTCTACTTTATTTGTTCTATTCTTCCCCTTTTCCTTGTACTTTCTGTTAACTGTTGTCTTGTCTCACCCTGTTTTCAGCTTCATCTATACACTCTGCAATGTTTAGTTTTTGCATATTGTTCTTTTTTTCACTCTTTGTCTTTGTTTTTTCAGCAGTATTTGTTAGTGGGAATGTACCAGTACCATAAAAGGGGTTGTAAGCTCAATCATCCAGGTAGATAACAACAAAAAAGGTTAAATCATGTCATCTGGACCTGTTTCTTTAAGTGAGAAACGTTTCGTCCCCCATCCAGAGGACTTCCTCAGACTGCCAACCAGATCTGTCCTATAGGTAGCCTTCTCTGCCATGTTTCAAGCCAACCTCCTCTTAGAATATCAAAATTAGACTTTTAACACATGCAAAACAATCAGTCATCATGTACAACAATCAAATGTTTTAGGCCAGATGGCCAACTTGCTACTCACAGAAACAGCCTGAGGACAACCAAGGTCAAAGTGGTTCATCTTGTCCCCTGGATGGGGGATGAAACATTTCTCACTTAAAGACACTGGTCCAGATGACACGATTTAATCTTTTTTGTTGTACCAATACCATATTTTTTCAAGTGCAAGTATCTACATTTAAGTACTTGCCAATACAATTACTAATAATTACCATTACACTTCATACAGTTTGTATAACATCTACAGATTTAATCTGTTCCAAAGGGTGATTTGTATGTTGAAAATTCACATTTTAAACACATTTTCCATTTAAATTAATAATAATTAAAATAACTGCCACACTTTTTCTTACAAAAGTCCCTCACGGTGAGTCCTCACCGCTGTCATTTTCAACACAAAAGAGACAGTTTCTACTCACTGACATTGCTTAAAGCTGACATTAACCATATTAAGATAACAACAAGGCAATGGTTGGAGTTTTTGTCACTTAGATTTTTAATAGACATCCAGCTCACAGCCGTACGAGTGACGAGAAGGTAAAATAAATCACTGTTTTGAAGCATTAGGCTAGCATTAGCTTAGTGCCTTCCCCTGAGACGGTGTTAGCAGCTGCTCCTGACTAAGAAGCTTGTTAAGGACCTTTTCAGGCTCATCAGTAGAATCTGAACACTTTTATGAGGACAGTACTGGTACTGATGCATTCCTACTTGTTAGTTTTGGTTTCTTATTTTTGTCTCTCTGAAAAGCCATTTCCCTTTCCCTCTTTCTAAATTTGGATTTTCATTTCCACGCTAGTATTTTTTGCTATTTTTCTACTTCACCTTTCCTCCACTGTTCCCTTGACATCATTTGCCCAGTGCCTGTTGGCCAGGTCATTATTGAAAATGAGATTTTGTTCTCAACTGACTAATCTGGCTAAAAAAAGGTCTTAAAGTACTTCACTTTTCCGACTGATATGAGGCTCTCCTTGAACACTCAGAGGTTTGACCAATACCAGTTTTCATGGGTTAAATACATTCTGCTCTTATGTTTACAAATTGAAAAGCTTTATTGGATTTCATGCATCAAAACATCTTTAGCATTAGACTGTTATAGAGCCCGACCAATATATATGCAGGGCCGATAATTTAAGCAAATATAGGCATTTTGGGGACCCATGGATCAGTGATAATTGTCCCATTATGCGCCCATATAAACTTTTCTAGTTTTAACCCCTAAAAAACTGGGAACCATCCGTAATTGTACAATGTATCCAGCAGAGGGTACATGAAGACGACTTTCAAGTTATTGCTGTTCACTTAATCCAAAAAAGTTCAATCTGGTCCTCTGGACATTCAAAAAAACAAAAACAAAACAAAGCAAAAAAAATGTAGAAACGTTTCGTCTCTCATCCAAGAGACTTCCTCAGTCTGAGGTGCTGTTTTCAGCTCAGTCTCTTAAATAG